GATGTGCAGCTACGAATGAATGAATGCAGAAATAAACTCTGGCACATATAATGAAGCACTCGAAATAAAGAATCTGTAAAACACCTCAGCACAGATGAACCTGGAGGGCTTTATGCTGGGTGGAACGAGTCAGTCGTAAGGAAATGGGTACCATGTGAGGACCACTATTATACAGAGTCAAGAAAAAGTTCCAACATAAAAAGAAACATTCTCTGATGGGGATCCGGAGTGGGAGGGTGAATCACTGAATGGAGTATACCGGCTCCCAAACTTACTTGGCCTACCAAGCACTGTTCATAAGAGAGAAATGTATGCAGCCCCCTGACAATGAGACACACTGCGCTGTAATCCCATCATCCAGGATAAAGCGGAGGCATCTGCTTTTGCAGCAGAGTGTCTCAGGGGACAGTGTTTGTTACCCGCTTTGGGACACACTGAACTAGAAGGTACCAAAAACCAAATTCACTGCTACTGATTCCAACTCACATATTAACTAGGGCGAAGGGGAAGGCAATGTACAATAAAGGGGAGGGGTGGGGAGTCAGCAAAAAAGGACCAAGGCAAAGGAAGCCACTAGGAAGTTAGAAACAGAGGTAAATGCTGTCTTCACCAAAGAAAACATTCAGGGCCAAGAAACACACGAAGACATGCTGTGACTGTTTCGCGATACTACAATAACAGTACGGGCAGTAATCGATGAGCCAGACAGGGGTGTTTCGCAATACTACAATAACGGTACGGACAGTAATCGATGAGCCAGACAGGGGTGAAATGGAGAATGTGACTGTACCCTCAAATAAACACCAGTTTGACAGAGAATATTTCTACACATGTATTCATGTATGTTGCAAATGTATCCTGAATATGGTAGAGCACACAGGGAGCATAGTTATGGAAACTTCTTAGCTATAAGCAAGTATCTCAAGGGAACGAGTCAGGACCAGAGGCTTGGGGCACACGGTCAGTTGACACAACATAGTCCACAGAGAAAGTGTTGCACATCTACTCTGGCGAGCAACAACTGGGGCAGTGAAAGCTTGTGAGCAATCCTCTAAGGTGGCCTCTATCCATTCGGAACAAAGAAGCGTGAAGAAAATTACAAGCACAAGGGAACAATTGGTCCAGAGGACTATGGGCTACAGCCCCCCAGCCCCCATGAGCCTGAGACCAGAAGAACTAGATGGTGCAGGAGCCGAGCTCCTTCAGGGGAAGCTTGCTGGACAAGTAGGGTTTCTGTGGGCACATACTGTGGAGCTGAAGAGCTTTACTAACCTATTACATGATCTCTTTGTTGGTACACGATTAACTGACACTTATGTGATAGCTACATCCATTTGTTCATGAGTTCACTAAGTATTTATTGGATACTAATGATATTCCAATGCTGTACTCAGCACTGAGAGAGACACCAGGAAGCCCCACTGCAGTGGGAGGAAAGCACACCGAGGTGCGCAGACAATGACCACGATGTGCAGTGACGGGGTGAAGCTCGGGAAGCCTCACTACCACTCAGGTGATATGGACTCATCACCCTGCAAACACAGTGGAATTGCGCCGAAGCAGGGTTTTTGCTTTGAGGACGCATTGAGTTTATGTTAATGGTGGTGGAATAATTTGGAAAAGAATATCAATACTGGCTGCACAACACAAAAAGTATAATCGATGGCACTGAACTAGACTTGTAGAAGTTGATGAATTGGAGAAGGTTTTGTTGTGTATATTTTTGCCACAATTAAAAAAATTTCCAGTCCTGGACTAGCAGCCCAATGCTTAATTCACAGCCCGGCAGGGATCCGCTAAAGCTAGCTCTAGGCTCTGTGGAGCCCTGGGGGCGGAGGAAGCACACGCACATTGAGAACACGTTCATAGAGCAGAGTTTTTAAAAGGGTGGACGGCGTTCCCCACGTCCACAGAGAAGAGAGGCCTCAAGGAGCACTGGCACCTCCGGAAAGAGTGAAGGAAGACCCATCGCACGGAATGGATTAGAGAGGGAGGCAGAATCCTGTCAGGCTGTGTCTTTTGGACTACAGGCATAGTGGGGCTTTGGGATCCGTGGGGGCTGACACGAACAGACGTGCATTTTAAAAAGAGAAGTATGGTGACAAATAACTCAGGGTGGGAGACCGTGGGGTCAGAAAGCGTCCGCTCGAGGAGAAATGTGAGGGATCTGTATGGGGAGCCCATGAGGATGGAGGGAGGGGGGCCCATTGTTTGATCGATGTCCCTACGGTAGAAGTTCACAGGACACTGTGATCAATGAGAAGAAGAAGCCCGAGAGGGCCTGGACCGCTCAGCAAAAAATGATGTCTTTCACCTGATTTAAAAGGACAGGCAGAGAGGAGGAAGCCATGTCAGACAAGCGGAGGCAGAAGGGTCTGAGGCGCATCCAAAGACGGACGCCCGGAGGAGGAGGAGGAGCACGAGGACTCAGAGGAGGTCTTGCTGACAAGGTCTAGACACCAGAGCTACAGGCTCTGTTCTGAGCAGTGAAAAGTCACCAGCACTAGTTAGAGCTACCAGGGATCGGCCAGCGGCTGCTTCAACTCCAGTACATCCCCCAGTGCTTAGCGATCGATGTATGCCAGGATGCACTCCGGCCAGGTGTGCCTGTGGACCGGGAATGATGTCTACAGGGGAGAAGTATCTGCTCTGTTCTTTACCGGCTCCCGCTGCTCCATTGTGTAAGTTGGCACGCAGGGAGGGCTGTCAAGGCAAAACCGAGCACCAGACGAGGATCATTTGATCAGAGACTAGATCACCAACACTGGACTGAAAAGGCAGTTGCTCAAGGCATTCCCCTGACGAAAAGTATTAATTGAGCCAGTTGCTCTGGGTCAATACTCTCCCCCTGATGGGACACACCCACCCGCCAGGGACTTTTGAGGACTGCTTTGAGAAACAGAAGACCGGTGTAATAGCTAACCATAACAAAAGCCTAACTCTGGTCACCGGAGCTCAAGGCTCTACTTTTTTCCTTTCAATTTATGCAGCTATACAAATCCTACTGGAAAGACAAAAAAAAAATGACCAATTTTATATCTAAAATTCTGCTCACTGTTATATAATGAGCAGAGTTTCAGATCTAGATCTTAACTGAGCAAACTGGGTGATATTTTCAACTAAGGACTTCAGAATTTCTCTATTTGAACAGAAAGGTGATATAATTCTTTGATATTCCCGGATTGTTAAATGACTAAAACTTTTTTCAGAAACACTGGAGAATTTGGCCTTTAACTTTTCGTCTTCATTTTTAAATTTTATTATTTTAAAACTGTTTTATTAGAACATAATGCAGACATCATACAATTCAATAGTTTAGTCATAAACCTTTCTTCTTTAAAAATGCTTTCTAGTTTCTTAGGGCTAAATTATATAGCATAAGCTGAGAGCTCTAACAATGGACGGTGGCCCTGAGGCCGCTTGTGGACCATAACCCAAAAGCAGCAGGGCGGTTCTGTTGGGCTTGGGTCTTCTCAGCAAACATGGCCTGGGTACAGGTGCGAGCATTAGCAGCAGAGCAAGAAGACACAGTCCTTCACTCAGGATGGGAGGCTCTAGATTTTCAACTACAACCCAGGGTCCCACAGGGTCCAGTAGGCAAGGGCCTAGTGAGAGCCCTGTGACCTCCTCTCCCATGTTAACAGTGCTGGAGCTCTGTTCTCCCTGTTTCATGATCCAGCCTTTCTTAGGAAACTGAACTTAACGAAAGGATCCTACACATATACACATGCACACACACAATAAATAAGTTCACCACATCATTGGTCTAATAGAAAAACAAGGGCAGTCAGAGCCTACATGTCCACACAGCCCTGGCCTAGAGCCTTATCTGCCTGCAGCTGCCGCCGCCACCTCTGCTGCCTTCTCTACCACAGCGTCCAGGGACCACACTGACAGCCCTGGATGGCAAGGTGGACGGACCCTGACCAGCAGACTCTATCATTTTATCTCCATTCCAGTGTGAAGCGTGGTGCTGTAACGGTTTCTCGGTTTCATTTTATTTTCTTCCCTTTTACCTTGTAGGGTTTGTTTGTTTGTTTGCTTTGGGTCCAGATCAGAGGCATTGTGGAGCATGAACTCTTTTCTTTTGCACTCTATTATACCTTCCAATCTTAATTTTCTCACATTTAACATCCGATTGTAAAAAGTGGAACCACTTTTCTCAAATTTGAAGTAAAAAAAACAAACCAAACTTAAAACACCAGCAAACCCAGGGAGAGTCGAAGCAACACAAAAACAACTCAAGATTTATCTTGCACCGCCCCACCGAGAAGATGACCAGCGAGCAGTGGATGGACCCTTCACACCGCACCTTGGCTAGGAGGGTCATTTCATCCCCATCAAGCTTGCTGGCCTCCACTGGAAGGGAAGCTCAACTGTCTGCTGGGTTTCTGAGCTGTCAAGAGGGAGAGCACCCCCCCAACTGCGGCTGCCCAGGGGCTCATCGCCCGAATGAGATCCGTGATCTACTGCCCCTTCCTTGGCCCCTGCTCAACCCTAAGAGCAATGTCAGAGGCAGGGCAGCTTCCCCTCTGTTCAGAAGGTGTGGGTCCGTCACAGGGATGGATTGGCCTTGAGGACCCATGCCCTTATAGAAGGCAGGGCCATCCGTCCACTTCCCTGTGAAGCCCCTCCCTCCATTAGGCTCAGGGCTTCCTGTGCGCTGGGGCTGGCTTTCTGCTTCTCGTGTGCTTTTCCCCCGGCACTGAATGCCAGACTCATCGTTTCTCCCTGATGAGTCTGCTAAGCCTTTGATCTGAGCTTCCCATGTGGAAATGAGCATTGGAAAGAAATTAAAAAGTAGCCACCACCGTATGGTGGGGCTCTGAGGATTTCAAGCGACACCCGGAGCTTGGTGCCAACCTGCTAGCTCATGAGAGGTAACGGTCTTGTTTTGACGCCTCTGAGCAGCTCTCTCCTTGGAGGACCGGGGTGCTATGACCCAGTCGGTGCGGTCCTAACACAGTCTCAACTGCACCCAAACTTGCAGCCACGCTTACCTGATCTGCTTGCCTTCTCTCATGTCATACAGGGAAAAGAAGACGTCTGCGTCCTCCCCAATGGTGTTGTAGGTAAAGCTTTTCAGGCTCAGGAAGAAGTGATGTGGCACCGGCATCCGACAGGTTTCCCCGTGACGGGGCCGCATCGTATCCACCTAACGAGGAAGGCAAGGCCTGTCAGTGCCCTTTCAGGGAGTCAGTCATTTATCACGAGTACGACGAAGGTGAAGTGGCTTCTTCTCCTCACACTGCTGATGGGCACTCTGCTAGTGGGGTGCTGACGGGGAGGCTTGGGTCAAGGTGGGCAAGCACGCAGCTGGAATCACAAGTGCCCTCACCGTCTCCGGGGAACCACTCTCAAAGGCATGTCATGACGCTAATGCAATTGATTTGTGCTGCTAGATGATTTATACTGCTACTGTCTCAAGTAACAGTCTCCATTTCTCCTAGGCTGACTTATTTTCATCTCAGTCCAGTCTTTCGATCGTGCTTATGTAAACTGGCACAGGGGCGCGCAGACTGGCCAGGCTCCTTAGATGAAAGGCACGGCACCAGTGGTGTCTGTCATTTCCTGGCTCAGCTGCACACTGCGTGACTTCTTCAAAGGAGGGGAGAGCGGGGGACAAGCTGCTTACCTGGGAGGTACTCTGCTGCACACTCTGCCGGCTAGATAGGTGCTACGGAAAGAAAACAAAACATTGTATGTCACATGGACATTATCTATCTATCTCTCACTCAGTTGGGGAGAAAATGAACACATATTAAACATGTTATACTACCATGCAGCTGCAGTTATTTCATTCAGAAGTTATTCACATTTTCTGGAGGCAACCAAGGCTTAGAGCAGTGGTTCTCAACCCATGGGCGACCCGATTCATAACAGTAGCAAAATTACAGTTATGAAGTAGCAATGAAAGTAATTTTATGGTTGGGAGGGGTCACCACCACATGAGGAACTGAATTAAAGGGTCGCGGCATTAGGAAGGTTGAGAACCACTGGTTTAGAATGAATGGAGCGACCTGCTGAAAGTCACACAGAAGGAAGGGGGTGGAGTCAGGATTCCAGCCGAAGCTCCCCAGACCTGAGGATCAGCCAAGGCACAGGTGGTGCCTTATGCGACAGGATTCTTGCTCTGGCAGGCTTCCCGACCCAGCTTCTTCAGAGGAAGAGTAACCTTTAACGAAAAGGGTCTCTCGCTCACATCTCTCTTGGCGCTGTTCCTCTGCTGCTGGCTCAGAGTTTGAAGCAGACCCCTCCCAGCTACACCACTCTTGAGCTGTGAACCCACAGACAAGTTGCTGAATCTCACCAAGAGGGTTTTGAGATAAAAGTCTGCCTTCTATTTCTCGCACAGTTATGGTTGAGTTTCAAATTAAAATTGGGAAGCAGTTTGATTTAATTGGTAGGGATGTGTGTACTGCAGTCAGGTCACCTGGTTTTGAACTTGACTCACACCACCTGTGTGCCTCAGTTGCCTTGCTTGTCAACGGGGCATTCGATACTGTACCTCTATGTCAACCTTGCTGGGTTTTATTATAAGGGGTTGCTAACTGTTCTTTTTAATTGGTATTATTTACAGATGGTTATTACAAGCCTGTCGTCACACTTAGAGGAATGGTGGGTGCACACACACTGAGGCTCGGCACACCGAGCAATGAGAGTTCCTCTCCTGTTTCCCATGGGGCTCATTGGCAGGGCTGATCCACCTCAGGGGATTAAGAAGAATGGCTACTACAGGGAATAGTTTCATTCCTTTCCCAAATACATATATATCTTTAACCCCAAATACAACTGAAAGAAAATTAAACATTAAATGTGCACCAACTGTATTTGCAAATTATGCATTGTTTGTGTGCATTCCTGGCCACATTATCTAATCATCTTAAGTTTAAACGCACATTCATGGGACTGTATGTTCCCAGGATACACAGTAAACATAATAGCATCAAGTCTCCACTAACTGGGGGAACTCATCACATAAAAGATAGATGTGCAGCCTCAGTCTGTGAAAGTGGGCACAGCCGATCATGGGGTCCAGACGGGCAGTTGTGGCTGAAAAAATGACAGGTTTTGCTTCCATCATGTGGATTAATTTCAGTGGTGACAATGAGACCTGTAACACTATGAAAAATAAAATAAAAGATAGATACAAGAAAGAAATCCTTATATATATATAAATATATTTTACATATAAAATATGTCAACATAAAACTTAAAAAGCATCATACTTCCAAAGAAAAAGAAACAGGTTTTCTAAGGTTTACTGACCCACACCCCAGTGGGAAGGCTACTGGTCTGAAATGTGCTTTACTGGCTTTTCTTGTTCAACTTTTATAACCAATAACTGCACTATTGGTCATTCTTCTCAAGTAGAATGACTAACTCTTACAAATAACTATCCTTCTAAATGCAAAATTTTCAACCGGAACTATGTACAGAGGGAGGAAGTCCACAAAACACAGCTAATTTAAATTAAAAAACAACTTCAAAGAAATCAAATTTGGGGGAAACTTTTGAATCCAGCCTGAAAGCACAGCACACAGGAGCCAGCAAAGGGAGCAGACCAGGCCGCGGGGGCCTCTCTCCTGGCACTGTGAGGAAATGCCGTCGCCCTGGACGCAGGCTGCACTCAGTGCCCACTGAGAGCGAGCCCCGCCGCTTCAGGACTGCAGCGTGGGACGTTTCTCGGTCTGCTGCCTAACTCTTGACTGTGTGCTCTCCGGGAACAAATTGCCTGTCTCACTCAATATCTCTGGCACCTAGCAAAAATCTACATTATTATGCATGGCCTACATTACTGCTTCTGCTTTTTTTGGTATGTGAGGTGTGTTATTTTTATTCCCCAGTAGAGAAGTAGTTTTCAACCCTTTGAAGTCTCTAGTTCACTTAATTTGTAAAAGTCTAACAAGATGGGGGCAAAATTATGCAGCTTTGGGCATGTTGCTCAATTGAATTACAAAATTAATTTCCTGCTCACAGTGACTCCAGAGGACAGGGTAAAACTGCTCCCCCCAATGGTTTCAGAGGCTGTATGTAATATTTATGGAAGCAGACTGCCACATCTTTCTCCTTCGGAGTGGCTGGTGGGCTTGAAATGCTGATCTTTCATTAGCAGCTGCCATATATATATATATAGTTTAAAAATATATATATACATACATATATACATACATACATATATACATACATACATACATATTCATATATGCTGAGGCGACCTGCATAAGGTACTGCGGATTTTACAAAGGAAGTGCCAAGCATATCTATTCAGCATTATCGGTGCAATGATGCTTGATTCGAATAAATGGTCTAATTAATTGATGTTTTCCAAAAATAGAATTAAAACCTTGAGCCACTGGAAACAGTAACCAGCACGATTACCTAGTCGGAGGAATTTCCCCCATCGTATGATGTCACTTATCATTCAGACCTGACCAACACCCACGGGCTGCTGAGACACAGCTCTCACCACAAGCCCTGCTCCGTGGGGAAGCGTCTCCGTGGGCAGGCTGAGAGCAGCTACCGGCACCCTCAATGTGGAAGAACAGCAACAACACAGGAGATGCGAATGTGGGCATTCTGTAAAACCTTGCACCATTTAGAAGTGCTCGCATTATGTAATTTCTGAATGTCTACATTTCAAAAGAAGATTCTGCTAATTAGTACAAATATTTTGCAGTTCCTTTTTAAATGCTTCTTATTGGGGGCAGTGCCAATGCTCTACTTCTAAAAGTGGGCTTAGAGTTGTTATTATGCAGAAGCAGGAACTGAGGGCCACTAAACTTCCTTTAGTTTTAGCCATATAGAAGCCAAAAAATGCAATTGTTTACTTAAAGAGATCTTTTTCAGTGATTGTTGCCAAAATTTTAAATGCTGATAAAGTTCTCCATTATTTATTGATTTTTCTTGTGTTCCTCAGAGCAGCCCTGGTGGTGGAGTGGTTGCGTGTTGGGCTGTCGTCTGCATGGTGGGCAGTTTGAAACCACCAGCAGCTCTGTGGGAGAAAGACTGGGCTTTCTAGTCTCCTAAACAGCTACCCTCTTGGCAACCCACTGGGCACACTATGAGTCAGCACTGACTCAATGGCAGTGAGTCATCATTATCATTCATCTCTGGCATAGGAGGTTAACTCTATGAAAGTTAAATGTTCTATTAAACTGGCATTCCATGATGCTCACCTTCCAGACATGATTGCCGAAGACAAAATGTGTGCATAAGCAAATGTGGTGAAGAAAGCTGATGGCACCCGGCTATCAAAAGATATAGCGTCTGGGTTCTTAAAGGCTTGAAGATAAACAAGCGGCCATCTAGCTGAGAA